AATTAATAAGATAAACTAAAAAAACTATTTTTTCTCTTCAAACACCAATATGTGTAGGATGCTTTTGTCTGAAACAGAATCTCTTTCACCTAAATCTTCATCTGCAGCAACCTTAACATCTTCAAGCTCAACAATCTCTATCATATGTTTGTGCTATTTGAATTTTTAATGAGATTTTTTTTGTCTGAACTTGTTATGTGCATGTGTATTTGTTTATTGTCGATCTTTATTTTTTTCAGGATTCGTCAACTCCCGAGACAATTTTTCTTTCTCAAGAATCAAGATAATGATAACTTATAAATTTTTTATTGAAGTGTAGTACTTTGATACAATGGACTGATGAAAAGAAACTTAACTAGAAAAATTATCAGTGTCACGGATAATCTTCATAGAAGGAAGAATAATTGCAGCCACTGGTTTGTCCGGGTATCCACCGCCTTCATCGATGATCAATCTTAGGCCATCTATAAGAAGTTTCCCAAGGTGACCGACCACTCACTACAACAGTCTGTTTATCATCTAGTTCCTGAAAAACGTTTCAGAACAAAAACAAAAGCATAAATGAGGCTTCAAAACTTAGCAAGATCTTAGAACAAAATGTGATCCTTTCGATGTTTTACCTGTGGGATGTCCCAAACGTTTTCCAGACCACTGAGATATGGTACTTTTGGGATACTTGTGTCTTTAGTTCTCAAATGCTTGAGTTGTTCGTCTACACTATTCCCTTTCTCCAAACCAGCATGTACCGCAATCAACTTACACTGCTTTAGCCATTTCTTGCTTTCTGTACAAACATTGTCCTGCAAGAGAACCAACCAATGAACACATGATAGCTAATACTACATATTTGTCCTGCAAATTAAACTTATGCTCGCTAAAATAGACAATGCACTGTAACTTTCTAATAGGTTGCAAAAGATCGATCGGCAAGTCCAAAGTTCGAGCGTTTATGGTATTACATCCACTCAACTACTGTTCCAACAAACAATTCACCGGATAAAATGGTAAGAGAAAGAGCCTTTACCTCTTCATGGACCCATACCATATTGGTCAAGAACTTCTTGTGACTCTCTGGTACAATACAACCTTCATCAAATCTATCAAGCAAACAAGTTTCAAAACCAATACCAAAAGATCCAAAACGATTTTGACACGTAGATAATTTCAATTTCATAACCAGAAAGATGAGAACTTAGAAACTCCAAATCAAAAGATGCATTATGAACAGATCCAATCATTGCCTAGTCATCAAATTCACAAATGACAAAACCAATTGAAACTAATTCACGGTTCCCATCAAATGCTAACCAGCAAGAAGAACCAAACCAAAACACATCAATGGAGAATTGTAATACCAGAAGATCCATGAGGAACACCATAAGATTCAAAAGTCGAACCAGCATCATAAATCGATCCTTTATAAGCCATTCCTTTCACGGAATTGAATTGAGCCTTAATTTTACCAGCCCCTCTCTTACCTTGAAGATGCATATCCTCGAACCCTTCACCTCTATACCATCCTTCTCTCTCTTCACTATCTTCAAACTCCTTCCACGTATCCTTCAAATCAGACCCATCTGAAGGACGAGGGAACAAACCCAAGAACCCAGCGAAGGCAAAGTCGTGGTTCCCAGCGAGAAAAACGTGTGTCTGGTCGGGATGTTTCTCCGATCAGACACACGTTACGGGTCTCTGGTCCACGATCCCAGTAGTCGCCGAGGAATATGACGAGAGCTGAGTCGAAATCTGATGGATCGAGAGCAGATTGGAGATTAAG